ATTTGTCTGAAGCATAGAAACTACTAGATTCAATGGATTAATTATCATATAACAAATTTCTATGTGATTGTATCTTTTGCCAGAATTACAACAAATCTCGTATTCATTCATTCCGTGGTGCAAAAGACGTGGCCATTACTTTGGATGGTAGATGTATTTTCAAAGGCGAAATTGCACGGTAAGCAATCATTATTGTGTCTCTGTTATTAGTGTTAATGTTTTTATTTAGTTTTAATATTCAATTTCACCTTTCTCCAATATAAATAAAAAATAACTTATGTTTAGGTCTGTAACAATAATTGTATTGATATTGAGTTTTTCTGATGGCCAGACTGAGTAGTACCTGTAATATTGAGTTTTTCTGATGGCCAGACTGAGTAGTAGTATTGAGTTTTTTCTGATGGCCAGACAGAGTAGTAGTTTTGAGTTTTTCTGATGGACAGACTGAGTAGTAGTATTGAGTTTTTCTGATGGCCAGACTGAGTAGTAGTATTGAGTTTTTCTGATGGTCAGACAGAGTAGTAGTTTTGAGTTTTTCTGATGGCCAGACTGAGTAGTAGTATTGAGTTTTTCTGATGGTCAGACAGAGTAGTAGTTTTGAGTTTTTCTGATGGACAGACTGAGTAGTAGTAATGAGTTTTTCTGATGGCCAGACTGAGTAGTAGTATTGAGTTTTTCTGATGGCCAGACTGAGTAGTAGTATTGAGTTTTTCTGATGGCCAGTCTGAGTAGTAGTATTGAGTTTTTCTGATGGCCAGCTAGACTGAGTAGTAGTATTGAGTTTTTCTGATGGCCAGACTGAGTAGTAGTATTGAGTTTTTTCTGTAGGCCAGCTAGACTGAGTAGTAGTATTGAGTTTTTTCTGTAGGCCAGCCAGACTGAGTAGTAGTATTGAGTTTTTCTCTCAATCTATACTTATGTAACAAAGTCATATATAAATATATGATGTTGTGTTGATATAAAGTTAACTATGTAAACTTTTCAGTTATCGTCTCCAGTTTTAGTAAATCAAAAAAATTACCAAAATACATGTACTATACCTTACTTGCATTTAATATTTACCCATATAAAAATGTCACATGACCTTTCAAGTAGAGCGTTCATTTGATTAATTTGCCCTCCTTCTGTTCAGGGACATTTGTGATGATTTCTTGTTCAACACTAACTCAATTAGAGGATTATAATATTTCAACCTTTATCTGACATTCATTTGAACCGTGCATGGGGGTGTCAGAGTCTCTGTGAATCGGCCTAGTTGCCATTTAACAGTATCTATCTCTTTAACCGTGCAGCACAAGATTCATTGTTACAGTAATGTTTGTTTTCTAAATATTTTATGCATTTTTTATTACATACTATCACATTATCACAATGTAAGTAAAAGTTTCAAGTGCATTTTTCAGGCAATATATTATGTTTTATTTATTGGTACATGCTACAAGCAATGTGTTTAGTGATACATTGAATCCAGGAAGGGAAGTTTCCTTGTCTTCACTGTGATACTTTGATAGTTAAAGTTACATTGCCCACTTTACATGCAGAACACCTTACACTGATTATTATGATCACCATGAGAAATGATAAAATCAGTTGCTATGACAACAAATCATCCTGAAATATTGGAGCTGATGCTAGTTTTTGCACTTGTCAGAAACAAGGTTGTGTTGTGCCATTTGTGCATGTACAGTATGCATTTTGATTTTTGCATGTTTGTTTTAGATTTGATGTCAGGATTGTGTAGGATAAGATTCCTCATAAACTGTACAAAATCTAAAGCGTGTATAATACTTGCAGAGGTCAGTGAGAGGTTTGCAGATCATACAAAGTGGGAATGTAACTTTAATTTTAATTTATTTAAAATATAGGGTAGATGTATTAAAGTGACACTCTGAGATTATTCTTAAAAATTTATTGGTGTCTTGGGGAAATTTAATGATATGAATCTGAATTTTTTTTTTTTTTTTGGTATGACTAATTTTAAAGTTAAAATGGTGGTCTTTCAGAGTGCAACATGTCATTGGGATACTTGTACTACATCAAAATCATGGAATGTATAAGCACATTATTAAGCATAAAAATACTAAAATGATTCTTCTTGTTTGTTGAATCCTACACAACATTTTGATTACACTATGATACTGTGATGTTTTACGTTCAATTTTATATGCTTAAACATGGAATCTCCAGAAGTTTGGAAAGGTTTAGTAATGCAGGTTGTAGTAATTCAGAAACAAATGTGTGAATCAACATTTGTTGTAACACTATTTGTTTTTACATGAAATTTAAATAAACAATGAAATGGGAAGCCAAAACAGTTTCTCTCATTCAGACTCAAGTATACTATTTAGTACAACGTCTTTAAATTCACACAATTTAAATCCATCAACGAATGTTTGACATATGAATTTCCCAAGACAGCGTTTTAAGAATGATCAGAGTGCAACTTTAATGCTAGAATAGGTGTATTTCATTACTTAAGATTAATAGGATGTCATCTCTATTAGATATTTTTTATTTTTACTATTGCCTTTCTATTTTCAGTGCAAGTGGTGGAATACTGGGGCAAACTGACACATTTGGAGATGTAAGTAACTTGTATGGTTCTACAGACCAGCCTTTCTCATCGGTAGACAGCCCAGTTATTATTCAATAACTGGACAGTGCTTGTTTACTGAATACATGTTTATTCTTTCTATAGACTATTCTGTTCACAATGGAGGATGATATTTTAGAGTCTATGTCACAATATGACGAGACATATGAAGGTGAGGATCTGTTCAGTGCTAGAGTTGAAGATATACAGAGACCGTTAACAGCTGGTGAAGATGACGTAAGTGTATATGTGATTGGATTTATCTTGAAACTGAATTACAATAAATTGACACCGATTCAATTCAGCGTATTTTACTACAAAAATATTGACAGTAGTTTACAGTTATGTAGTAGTTTAGAATTACTGTTTGACAGTGAATGATATGATACATCCAAAGTGAGAACATCTTTGACAGCATTGTGATCAATACATACTCTAAATATAATTGGCTGCATGTTTGTAATATGGTGTGTTCTGTTTATGTTCTCATATATGCCATATGAAAACATTTATATTATTAGGTAAGGCCATTTACTTCCGCTGCTGTGAATTTCCCAAAAGAATCACCACCACAACAGTTGTCACCAACCCCTGAAGACTATGTACCAACCATTGCTGCCACTACTACTACCAAGTCATTGATTGGTCAACGTAAGATGCTTTACAATCTCTTTTTCATGTATTTTAACTGTGAATCTCAGAGCATGTGATGTGACTGTGAATGTGATCTGATTGTGAATCTCAGAGTATGTGATGTGACTCCAGTGTATGCGATGTAACTGTGCCTCTCAGAGTATGTGATGTGACTCCAGTGTATGCGATGTAACTGTGCCTCTCAGAGTATGTGATGCGACTCCAGTGCAAGTGATGGGATTGAAACCCTCAGAGCATGTGATGTGACACATGTGAATGTGATGTGACTGTGAATCTCAGAACATGTGATGTGACTCCAGTGTATGTGATGCGACTCCAGTGCAAGTGATGGGATTGAAACCCTCAGAGCATGTGATCTGACACCTGTGAATGTGATCTGACTGTGAATCTCGGAGCATGTGATGCGACTCCAGTGTATGTGATGCGACTGTGACCCTCTGAGCATATGATGCGACTCCATTGTATGTGATGTGATTGTGACCCTAGTGTTGTGATTCATATCATGGCTTCCTCACAAATTTGATGCTTACGATTACGTTACAGGTCTGAAGTTAAATTTCACAGCTACTTGGGGAGATATTCATTATCTTGGATTAACTGGATTAGAGATATTAGATGTGAATGGCGATGTGATCGATATTAGATTAGATCAGATTGATGCTAATCCTAGAGATCTCAACATACTACCAGAATATAATAATGATGATAGGACACTAGACAAGTGAGTTCATTTCCAAGTTATAAATATTATAGTGTTATAGTTCATTTATACAACACTGAAGGTCTGGGCTTTCTACAGAAATATACTGTAAATATGCACACAGATATTACGAAGTCACATCTACCTCTACTATGTGTCAGTCGCTGTACAGTTTTTGTATATAGTCCACTGTATCACACAATACAATAACTGATCAAAATTAACAGTGATTGCAATTTCAAGGCATGTTACATGCGAGAGAATGTTACTTACACCTACTGTAAATGCATTAATTATTCACTGGGTTTTGATTGCGCTAAGTAATATCCGCTAAATAAACATGAACATGTAAAAAAAATAAAATAAAACTCATTGTTTCCTTGACAAATTTGTGAAAGTAAAACACAGTGAATATTAAATGTCAGTGAAAATAAATGGATTTACAGGATCATTGCACAAAAAAATCCATATGTGTTTATTTTGTACCAGTGAAAATTTCTTTGGGTTCCTATGCCAGTAACTTTTGTAAAATTTTGTCTTCATGAATGCCATAAAATCCCTAAATTGCAAAAAACAGTTCAAAGTATACATTATGTGTATTGTGTTTCTAATGAATTGTGTACGGCAGGTTATTTGACGATAATAATATTACAATGGTGGATCAGCATATGTGGCTGATACCGTTCTCTGATGGCATGGATCATACACTCATTATAAACTTTGACACGCCGATGGAAGTATCTGGACTTAGAATATGGAACTACAATAAATCTCCTGAAGATACATATCGTGGAGTAAGTGACATCTATTTTAAATTATTATAATGAGATTATACAAGAATACTTTATGCACAAAGGTGATTTGTTTTCACAAATTAAGCCAAATGTATTTATTTCTATTGACTCATTTCTGCATGGCTGTAAGTACCTACTAAACATGAAGAACTACACAATATAACTATGGGACTTTCAACTTATTGGTAGCCTAGTTAGCTGACTTCTAAAAAAAAATTATTTTGAGCCTTGTCAGCAACTCATCATAGAAATATTCAATTATATTACCTTGTTGTGTATGTTATTAAATAATTACTTAATGTGATGTTGTCTAGCATTATTCAAACCAAACTCATAATTAATTATTTAATTAATTAATTAATTAATTAATTAATTAATCAATTCTGTTTCTTGCAGGCTAAAACTGTGCATGTGTCATTAGACAATCAAACATTATCCCCATCAGAGGGGTACCTCATCAGAAAAGGACCTGGCAATTGTTTCTTTGATTTTGCTCAGGAGATAATATTTAACAACACAAGTACAGGAATTGCTAGTGATAACACTGCAATGGATAATGTAAGGTAAGATAAAATATGAAAAAAAAGAATCTTTGATTTTCTGATGAAAAATGCCAGTCTATGTAGTAGCATTAATCCGTGATTGTAGTGGCTTTGTAAAATGGTATTAAAGGCACTCAGATATGCTATGTTAGAGATTTGGATATTGATGTTTTCTATGTTTTCTCCTCTGCTAGGGGCAGTGTGGTGGAATCTGAAGAACCAAGTCAGGATTATGAATCAATGATTATGCCGTGTGGATGTATCCTTACTGTTACATGCATCATATGTTGGTGCTTTGATCGGTTTAAATAATACATAATTATTAATATTTACCAATTCACTGAATTGTCATCAACATTATCACATG